TTCTATCAGGACTCCTAACGTAGCGATGCGTTCGGAGTCCACTGATATGCAGACACGTGGCTTCAAGAAAACGTGTGTTTTTCTATGATCCGGCCGGATAACATAGAAGAATATTCCTCATGTGTTATTCAATTGTTATTGTGATGATATTGGTGTGTTATTATGTTATTATAACACTAGGAATATTTCCAGACTACAATAACACATAAATAATGCAAAATAACAAGGGAAGAATATTCTCCTGTGTTAAAACGATTATTATTATTTTTTTGATCACTTTCACGTGACGTCATTTCATTGAACTCCGAATGTATCTCTACGTCAGGAGTCCGGATGCGTAATTCAAATTCTCACCCAAAGATCACAATTTTATCCCTATTATACTAAAGAAAAATATGATAATTTGGAATTAATATATTAGCCGCTTCTTCTGACACGAATTTTAACCCGCCACTCCGCATACGAATTAAACCCTACGGCCACGGGATATCCCGGCCATTTGCAAATTAGTATAAATAGACTTTGGGTGGGGTTTAGGGTTTGTACCGGCAGCAACCATCTCCGCAACAATCAATGGAGTTTCGTTCGAGCTCTCAGGTGCATAAGAGCTTGCCTTCGTATTGGCGGCGGAGAGCAAACCGGAGGATCGGCGACGGAGAAACGAAGAAGAGGTCTTCGCGGGTGATTAGGCTCGGCGGCGGCCGTAAGAAGAGATGGAGATCATGGAAGATGGTGGTGGTGCGGCCGGTGCTGAAATTGGCGAGGTTAAGGGTTCCGCCTCCGGTTATGGCGATGGAGAAGCTGAGGGATGCTTACACGGATGCGATGGTCCTGTTTTCCAGAGCATTGGCGGCGAAGAAGGGTGGGTCTGGTGCTGGAATGGGAAACATTTGGGATCGGAGAATTCCTAGAGGGAGGGAGGAAGGATTGAAATCGGGAGATTTTGAGAAGAGGCTGATGCTTCATTTGTATAACTCGGTTATTGCTGTTAGGTAGATGATGTGCATTTCGTTTGTCAAGGATTGTCTGGTTCATTTGGTGTTTGTTTGAAGTGGGGGGAGATGAAGATGATTTCTCATTTGTGTAAATGTTGAAAGGTGTTGTAGATGGTAATTGGATTGGCTTTGGTTCACTTTTTGTACATAGCGTGTTGTTGTTGTTGTTGTTGTTGTTGTTGTTGCTGTTGCTGCTGCTGCTGTTGTTGTTAGGTTGAATCATTAAGGTCTACTGGTCCTAGAATGATTTGTTGTCTAACTTATAGATAAAGGAAAATAATTCAAAATAATTGGATAGGGAATAAGTCACATGTATATATTACATGTCATTTATGAGCTAGCTTGAAAAAAAATAAAATAGGTTTTGTCATAGACATTATAATTCACATTTTTTTCTTAAAATTTAACAATGTGGGACCAGCACATGTAATCAAATCACAGGCTATATAAGTACTATATTAAGATTGAAGATTAAGACCATCATTAACCAATTTCAATGCAAGGATCCTCATCATGCTTAGTTGGTCCTTCATTGGTTTATTTCTGGCTAATATGGGCCTCAAGTTTTTTTACAATAAACACGGTATTTAATTCAATGTGAAATTTCATTCACCAACTCTAGCCAAGAACTCTTAGGAGAATCAAGAAGATTGCAAATGATTAAATGCATACACTCTTTTTTCATATTTGGCATATCCAATCATCTTCTCTCCTTTCATCATAAAGCAAATGAATTAATTTTTGAATGAATTGAATTTTCTCTTGGTTGATGAAAACTTGGAGGTAGCTTACTAGCTAGATTGAACCTTTTAAGAATTATCGTATCTCAAATTTTATTTCAATTTTTTCTGGTGAGTCATAATTATTTTTACTTGCATTTTTATTTTTTCATCCTCCACTTTTTGCATGCCTCAACCCTTAGCTACCTCCCTCTTCACCTCCATAACCCTAAAACATCCTACACCACTCCATAACCATTGATCCCCAACTTGCATCTTTTAGGCCGCCAACTAAAACACTCATACCTAAACCCTCTTTTAACAAGTTTAAAAAAAAAACCTCATACGAACAAAAAAACCTAATCTAGTTAACACTAAATCACCAAACCACATCGAAGGCTTCTTGCTTACCTCCATTTGTTGTCACAAACAAGAGAACACCATCCTACATCTATTGTAAAGATATCTATTGGATGAATATTGTATACCAGAGGCATACATATATCACCTCAAATATGAAAAAACATTAATTCAATTGTGATCTCATAAGGTAATTGGCTTTTTAAAATTGGTTCTTTTATAATTGAGTATTTTCATAAAAAAATGTTTTATTTGGTAAAAAATAGACAATATTTTTTTCTATAGACTCAAGAAAAATAAATATTATTTTCATGTAATTTATACTCGTAATAAGTCATCAATATATAAGGACAAGATCATTAGGTATTAAATGGAAAGGAAAAAAAATTATGAAATACTTGATTTTTTTTTAAACATAAATAGTTGCCTACCTCAATTTTCTTATCCAATTCTTTATATAGAAATCAATGATGCCTTAGCATCTTTCTAAAATTTCGCAAGATCTTAATGTGCCATTAGTGCAAGAATTAGGATAATTAAAATGAGTACACCAAATATCACTTCTTTAGGTGAATTGTTCAACTAATAGAGTATAACCAAATATTCTTATCAAGTACATGCCTTGTAGTTCCTTAACTCTCCAAGCATACAACTAAACTTCTTGTTACTAATGTTATCTTTAAAAAAATATTCAGTTTTGATGTATATTAGTCATGTCATCATTAATAAGTCTTGTACTTTCCACCAATTAAAAAAAAATTTGATCCTAAAAGGTATCATTGTGTAAAGTAAAACAATCCATTAAACCTTCTAAAAAACTATAGCACTTATCTTATGGAACACTAATAAAATTAAATGAGTACCTTACCAATTCATTGAAATTTGTTATATATGACATAAAAAAGTTTCCTTCTTGTACCAATCTTACAAAAGATTTTTACATTTGATATCTTACTAATGGTGCCATTATTAGTCATGAAAGACTCCTATGAAACCTTCCAAATTATCACTTCCAAATGATCATGAAATTTAATCACTATTGGAACTTCTTATCTTACCATGTGACCAATACTATTCAACCTCACCTTAAGAAATAAACACAATTAATTTAATATTTTAAAAACATCATAACTTTTCTTTGTATAATAGCCAGTCTTTTAACATTTAAAGCTCTATAACACTGTCGGCGCTATTTTTGGCGTGGGGTTTGCCCGT